ATCCCTCTCATACTTGACATTCATGGGACTGTGTGATGAGCTCACCCCAGCACTGCGGCTCAAGGACACGAGAATGAGAGCTGCCCTGTTGCTGGAGAAGCACATGGAGATTGCACTGTGGAAGTTGGCTACTCCAGACCACTACCGATTGGTCGCTAACCAGTTCAGAGTGGGAAAGTCAACCATTGGAGTCGTGTTGATGGAAGTGTGCAGGGCCATTAATCTCATCCTGCTCCGAAAGACCATGACTCTGGGCAACGTGCGTGACATTGTGATGGCTTTGCACAATTGGGCTTCCCTAACTGTGGAGGGGAGATAGATGGCACGCACATTCCAATTCTGGCACCAGACCACCTAGCCACCGAGTACATTAATTGGAAGGGGTATTTCTCAATGATTCTCCAGGCGCCTGTGGATCACCATGGGCGTTTCACAGACATTAACGCAGGCTGGTCCAGAAAGGTTCATGACGCACACATCTTTCGGAACACTGGCCTGTTCAAGAAGCTGCAAGAAGCTTCCCAGACCAGAAGATCACTGTAGGGGAAATCAAAATGCCCATTGTGATCCTGGGAGATCCCGCCTACCCCTTAATGCTGTGGCTTATGAAGCCATACACGGAGCAACTTGACAGCAGCAAGGAGCGGTTCAACAACAGGCTGAGCAAGTGCAGAATGACTGTTGAGTGTGCTTTTGGCCGTTTAAAGGCCCGCTGGTCACAGTGTCATAGTGTGAGAAGAAGGCCAAACTGGTAAGGTAGAGGGCTCAGCTGTACCCCAGTTCGGTTGCACCCTGGAAGGATCCCATCACAACAGGCATTGCTGTTATCCAGTCTATGGTTGAAATGCTGCTGTGAACACCCTAGTTCATTTGTGTTTGGTTTCCCTGACCAGTCTAGATAGCTATTTTACTTCTATGAACCATGTTATGGAACCATCTGTAGGCTACCTGAAGGGGAGGGGGAGAGGGGGAGAAAATGGCCAGCATGGCTCCATAGGGGCAAAAACCCTTCTCACGCTGGCAAAGAGAATGGTGTTTAACAGCAAATATGTTTAAGCTTTGTGGTTACTACCAATTTCAGCAGTGGTGTGAGCAGGACCCCAATGCACATATGCAATTCCACATGTGTCTAGTGACTCATAGACTTTAAGGTGAGAAGAGACCAGCATGATCATCTAGTCTGACCTCCTGCACATTGCAGACCACAGAACCTCACCCACCCACCCACTCCAGTAATAGATCCCTAACCTCTGGCTGAGTTACTGAAGTCCTCAAATCCTGATTTAAAGACTTAAAGTTACAGAGAATCCACCATTTACATTAGTGGCTTGCTTCTCCTTTTTTGTAATTCCCCACTAGAGGTTCACATATGTAAGGAATGTGAAGAATAGTTGCACCCACTTCTGAAGATCTAGTCCTCTGTGGTTGAGGGAGAATGATGATTTCATCCACTTTAAAGACAGTAGCAGAATTATGGCTTGTTTCAGATAGGGCATAGGATGGATGGATAAAGTTGATCAGTTCACTATATCAAATAAATGCAACATAAGCTCTATAAATGCAATATCCAGGTTGTGTATGAATGTATATACCATCAGGAACTGGAAAAAGTTACAGCTCTCAGAGTGACATTTCATTGACTAATCTGCACAAGTAATTGGATTACTTGTCAAACCATTAAATGTTTATTTTATGTGCAATGTGGATGAGCTAATGCAACTATAAGAATTTGTACTTGTTCATCTGAAATGCATTCCAGTTCATACCAGTGATACTGCATTAATGTACATTCCATATTTCCTTTCCTTTTTCTTTTTTAAAACTGCCTCTCTCTGAAGTATTGCTCTCACCACCCACCCAAACTCAACATATTTTAAAGCCCTACTATAAATAAAACCATCTGGTTCTGTTTTTCAAATAAACCAGCCTATTAATTCACAATGAGATTAAGTTTGCTCTTTAGGAACCCTGCTCTCACTTCTTGATTTTGAGTGTTGTGTGTTGGAGGTGCTTAGTGAGAGAAGCAGCTGCTGCATCCAGAAAAAATAGTTGCTGCCAGGCTCCCAGCTCCCAGGCAGGAAGCCTGCTATAGATAGAAAAGAAATTTCACACCTCTTCACTTCAAGAATCACAGCAGGAAGAGTGGGTGGGCTGTGTAAAGAAAGCTGGTCAGCACATGCTTATGACAAATGAGTTCAAGAGGTGAGAAGAAACAGGTGTTTCCACAGCTGAGGCTGCTCCACTAACTAAAGGAGTTGATGCTAAGGGTACGTCTACACTTACCGGAGGGTCCGGCGGCAGGCAATCGATGTTCTGGGATCGATTTATCGCGTCTGGTTTAGACACGATAAATCGATCCCGGATCGATCCCGGAAGTGCTCGCCGTCAACGCCAGTACTCCAGCTCGGTGAGAGGAGTACGCGGCATCGACGGGGGAGCCTTCCTGCCTCGTCTGGACCCGTGGTAAGTTCGGACTAAGGTACTTCGAATTCAGCTACGTTATTAACGTAGCTGAATTTGCGTACCTTAGTCCGAAGTGGGGGGGTAGTGTAGACCAGGCCTAAGACCCTCTTTAGCAGAGAGGGTCACATATTAGGATCCTTGGTTTGCTGCTCCGGACATTGGCAGAGACTAACACTTTGCATTGTTATAGCACCTTCTATTGCAGAGGTGGGCAAATAAGGACATCCAGATCTTCCTGTATGATATCCTGGTCCTTCTCTGTACCAATACCAGTTTTGTGTCATCCGCAAACTTTATTAGAACACTCCCACTTTTTGTGCCAAAGTCAGTAATAAAAAGATTAAATAAGATTGGTCCCAAAACCGATCCCTGAGGAACTCCACTAGTAACCTCCCTCCAGCCTGACAGTTCACCTTTCAGTATAACCCGTTGTAGTCTCCCCTTTAACCAGTTCCTTATCCACCTTTCAATTTTCATATTGATCCCCATCTTTTCCAATTTAACTAATAATTCCCCATGTGGAACCGTATTGAATGCCTTACTGAAATCGAAGTAAATTAGATCCACTGCATTTCCTTTGTCTAAAACATCGGTTACCTTCTCAAAGAAGGAGATCAGGTTGGTTTGGCATGATCTACCTTTTGTAAAACCATGTTGTATTTTGTCCCAATTACCATTGACCTCAATGTCCTTAACTACTTTCTCCTTCAAAAATTTTTCCAAGACCTTGCATACTACAGATGTTAAACTAACAGGCCTGTAGTTACCCGGATCACATTTTTCCCCTTTCTTAAAAATAGGAACTATGTTAGCATTCTCCAGTCATACGGTACAAGCCCTGAGTTTACAGATTCATTAAAAATTCTTGCTAAAGGGCTTGCAATTTCATGTGCCAGTTCCTTTAATATTCTTGAATGAAGATTATCTGGGCTCCCCGATTTAGTCCCATTAAACTGTTCGAGTTTGGCTTCTACCTCGGATGTGGTAATATCTACCTCCATATCCTCATTCCCATTTGTCATCCTACCATTATCCCTAAGCTCCTCATTAGCCTCATTAAAGACTGAGGCAAAGTATTTGTTTAGATATTGGGCCATGCCTAGATTATCCTTAACCTCCACTCCATCCTCAGTGTTTAGCGGTCCCACTTCTTCTTTCTTTGTTTTCTTCTTATTTATATGGCTATAGAACCTTTTACTATTGGTTTTAATTCCCTTTGCAAAGTCCAACTCTACATGGCTTTTGGCCTTTCTCATTTTATCCTTACATGTTCTGAGCTCAATAAGGTAGCTTTCCTTGCTGATCACTTCCATCTTCCACTCCTTGTAGGCTTTCTGCTTTTTCTTAATCACCTCTCTGAGATGCTTGCTCATCCAGCTTGGTCTACAATTCCTGCCTATGAATTTTTTCCCCTTTCCTGGGATGCAGGCTTCTGATAGTTTCTGCAACTTTGACTTGAAGTAATTCCAGGCCTCCTCTGCCTTTAGATCCACAAGTTCTTCAGTCTAATCCACTTACCTAACTAATTTCCTTAATTTTTTAAAGTTAGCCCTTTTGAAATCAAAAACCCTAGTCACAGATCTATTTTTATTTATCCTTCCATTTAGTTTAAACTGAATTAGCTCATGATCACTCGAACCAAGGTTGTCCCCTACAGCATTTCTTCTATGAGGTCCTCACTGCTCACCAAAACCAAATCTAAAATGGCATCCCCTCTTGTTGGTTCAGCAACTACTTGGTGAAGGAATCCAACAGCTATCACATCCAGGAAAATCTGAGCCCTATTATTATTACTAGCAATTGTCCTCCAGTCTATATCTGGGAAGTTAAAGTCTCCCATGATCACACAATTCCCATTAGTATTTACTTCATTAAAAACATTAAAGAGGTCTCTATCCATATCCAGATCAGATCCCAGGGGTCTATAGCACACCCCAAGCACTATCCCAGGGGAGGCTCTAGTAGCTTTCTTCCCCAATGTGATTTTTGCCCAGACAGACTCTGTCTTATCCATTCCATCCCTTCTTATTTCTTTAAAGTCTACCTCATCATTGATATACAATGCTACTCCACCATCTTTGCCTTTATTTCTGGCTTTCCTGAACAGTACATACCCTTCACAACCTGTACTCCAGTCATGACTACTATTCCACCATGTTTCTGTTATCCCTATAAAATCTGGTTTCACTTTCTGCACCAGTAACTCTAGTTCCTCCATTTTGTTACCTAGGCTCCTCGCATTGGTGTACAAACTTCTTATTTTTTGCTGTTTGGCTTCGCTCACATTCTTTACCAGATTAGATATTGAGATTGGGGTGCTCTTTCGCTTGTAAAGGATCTGTGTCTTATAACATCTATAAGGGATTTGTGTTTTAGATTATTATTGTATTAGGGATTATTATTTGCATCAATAAAAAAATATTTTGTTTTGGAAAGACTACTGCCTGTGTCAATCTATCATTTATTGGAAGGCTGTATCCATGTCCTCCAAGTTTTGCCTTAGCTATCCTGGAGACCCATACCTTAGGAAGGACAGATTAAGGGGGCAAGAGGTGGATTATTCTAGGGGCACCATAAAACCTGTCTTTCAGGGTAATAAGAATGAGTAACAACTTGGCAACTAGGTTGCCTTTATTTGCAAGGGCTGTCTCTGACAGGTTTGGAATAAGTGAACCTTCTTCTCCTGCTTCTGCATCTGCAGTTTGTAGAGTTTGCTCATTTGGTTGTTCAGTCTCTGGAATGAACTGAACATGTCGACGGTTTCTGTTGAACTCCCCACTGTCTGTCTCAGTAGTGTATGATTTAGACAATGCATTCTTTTTCTTTAACAACAGCTGGTGTTCTCCATCCTTTTCCTCCCTCCTGTTAGACACAAACATGGTCACCAGGCTCCAGATGAGGCAATTCTCTGAGTGATGTCGGTTATAAAAGTGTTCATAAGCTCTTTTTGCCTTGATCTGATATGGCTACTCCTCTCAGTTGTGGCCTTTTGAGGGATAGATGCTTTTCCAGGATTGGAACAGTAGTCTGGAGTTGCCGTCTGTGATGGTTCTTGGGGTATCCAGGACTGTGAATCATCTTGTTACCTCCTCTCTCCAGACTGAGGGAGTCTTGCTTGTGGTAACTGGGTGTTAGCTTCCTGACACCACCAGCTTATCAGCCACTCAAGCACTCTCCTGCAGGCTACGCCAGTCCTGTCTTTACCTTGCTGTGGGCCTTGTGGCACAATGGTAGCTTGTCTGATTCCTGATCAGAAGGTTCTGTGTTTGAGTCACATGGGGGTCAGACTGTTGGATGATACACATGGTCTGGTTGCAGTCAGTGAGGAGCAGGACGTTGGTGGTTCAGTGGAAGAATTTTCACCTGCCCTGTAGGAAGTCTAGGTTTGATTCCCAGCCTATGCAGTGGCTCTCTTCCCAGGGCCTCTGCTGTGGGTGTGGTTGGCTCACAAGCTACTCCCTGGCCTCAGAGTCTGAGGTGCTTGAGAGAGCCTCTTGGCAGGGGTGCTGCTGCTCTTTGCCCCTTTCTTCCTTTCGGAGGAGCAGTGATGAGGGCCAGAAGCAGCTTGGTGAGAAGCGTGCTCTTTCAGGTGGGGTATTAAGCCCCTTCCCACTCTTAAGCCAGGGCCACAGGATGTACAAGCATAGCCTGGGAAAACTCCAGCCACCAGGTCAACCTGTGTATGCTCAGGAGCCTGCTTCGCCAAGAGGAAAGAGCCTGAAGGACTGCTCCTCAGGCCATCCCAGCAGCTTGCTTGCTCTCCAGCATTGCCAAAAGGGCTCCTTCGAGCTCCTGGCTTGATGGTGAGATCAGGGCAGGCGGGGATCGTGAGCCCTCACTTGCACAACAGGAAGGAAAGGCACTCTGTACTTTCAAACACCCCCCCAGCCTGACCAGAGATTTGACCTTCCAGCAGCAGGCCATGTGGTGCAAAAGTAGCGCATCTGAGTCCAGATCAGAAGGTTGTGTGGTCGAATCACATCGGTGTCAGACTGTTGGTCATTAAGCCTTCATCCTCATTGATGGTAGCTTTCCTTCTGAGGGCTTGCAGCTGTTTCCTTTAGTGACCCTTGAAGAGTGCTATGAGCTTGCTTTTGCTTGAAAGAGGTCAAAGGGGATCTCAGAAGCTGGGCTACCACATCAGTGGGGCAGGGGAGTGGGTGCACAAGCCAGGTAGGAGTTGAATTTGCAATTACAAAAGGTTTACGGTTGGTTTTCAGTTTAAAGGAACTCAACCCACACAGATAGCTGTAGAATTTCTCACATACCCATACACTTGCCAAGCTCTTCTTGTCTATCTGCACATATCATTTTTCTGCTTCTGTAAGTGTATGAGAATAAAACGCAGCTGGCTTCTACTCAGATCCATGTAACGACAACAATATACCACTGAGGCCATAGCTACTGGCACCAGCACAGTATGCACTCCGTTTAGCACTCTCTTTGGCTAAAGGAATTTGCCAGAAACCACTGGATGCATTTAGCTTAGAGAATACTGCCATTTTAGGAAGGAAATCTTCCAGTGTTGAGAGGTGTGACACAGAGACCCCTTGGCAAAGGCTTGCGTGTTCTTTGCAAACATCTTTCACCTCAAACCTGACAAACTCTCTGTGACATTGCACACCATAAGGCTTTATGGAAATATGCTTATGAATGTATATATGATATAACTGGAATATGTTTTATGCTACATATGCCATGTAGCATATCTATGTAAAGGGTATGATCTACTGAATCTATTCATCCTATTTGTATGCATGTGTCATTATTGTATTCAAAGTTATGAATATTGGCTGTATACTTGTTTGATTTTAAATAGCCTTAGTAAGGCATTTGGTCAGCTTCTTTAGAAAGGAATTTGCAAGTTAAGTGCCCAATCAATAAGCACTTAACAGACAATGGATCCTGGAAGGCTCCAATCCACATAAGAAGTCTACATGAGGACATTCAAAGTAGCATGTGAACCATAGCTGCTACCTGTAAGTTCTGAATCATGCATGGGCATATGACTTTCCCATGTGACTCCAAACCTCAATCTTGTAGCTGGAATTCTACACATGGGGAGGAAGGGGTATCCACCCACAAGAGAAAGTCTATTTAAACCCCTGGGAGACCACTCCATTTTGTCTTCAGCTGGCTCAAGAGATAGCCTCTCCACCCTCAAAGGATACCTGAAAGAAACTGGAACAAAGGACAGTAACTACAGAGGGTGTGAGTGAGGTTTTATCTGTATTCAGTTTTCTTACTGTATTAGGCATAGACTTGTGTGTTTTATTTTATTTTGCTTGGTAATTCACTTTGTTCTGTCTGTTACTACTTGGAACCACTTAAATCTTACTTTCTGTATTTAATAAAATCACTTTTTACTTATTAATTAACCCAGAGTATGTATTCATACCTTGGGGGTGGGGGGGCAAACAGCTGTGCATATCTCTCTCTATCAGTGTTATAGAGGGTGAACAACTTATGAGTTTACCCTGTATAAGCTTTATACAGGGTAAAACGGATTTATTTGGGGTTTGGACCCCATTGGGAGTTGGGCATCTGAGTGTTAAAGACAGGAACACTTCTTAAGCTGCTTTCAGTTAAGCTTGCAGTTTGTGGGACGTGGTTCAGACTTGGGTCTGTGTTTGTGGCCGGCAAGCATGTCTGGCACATCCAGGCAGGGCTCTGGAGTTCCAAGCTGGTAGGGAAAGCTGGGGCAGAAGTAGTCTTGGCACATCAGTTGGCAGCCCCAAGGGGGTTTCTGTGATCCAATCTGTCACACTCTCTACACCTAACACAAGTCTTACAGGATATTTATCCATAAAGAGTAACATGTAAGGTATCTACAGATAGCTCATAACTTTTCAAGCCTCATAATCACTGTAAGATGTATGTACGGACAATATTTAAGGAATAATGTATTAATATTGAAAGTATGCTTTGTGGATTTGGAGACAGCTCTGCGTGGGAGCAAAAACATTTGTCACAGAGAAAGCGTAAGGAAGGCTATATGCTGCAATGAACCTAGTGGGGAAAGCAAGGGTAAATTCTTTCTGCAGGAGGGCAGGATATACAGGGAAGTCCAACTGGATAAGAACAGGTGCTCTGGGAAACCTCACAGACAGTTTATAGTGCCCAAAAGGTCATTCAACAGAGTGGGTTGTCGAAATGAAATCCTATCATAGTGTCAAATTTTATGTCCCTGATATTTAGTGAAGAGGCACGGGGTAAAAGAATCCAAGTCTGCGCTTTACCACCCAGAGACAAAAGGTCTACTGGAAAGGGTCAACGGGACTCTTAAATCCATACGAAGAATGTATGTGGACAGAAAAAGCTGGAGATTCAGATGTGTTATTGCCCTATTATTTGCTTACAGAGAAGTGTAGTAGAAAGAGGGCGCCTGAGACATGAGGCCTGGTATAAAGGCTTGATGTAAGCCCTAAGACCCAAACTAAAGTCAGGCTCTGCTCTGATACAAAACATACCTACTTGCAAATTCACAGAACTTGGCAAGAACAGGGCTAGTATTGCAAAAATGCAAACACTCCTAAGAAGTGCCAGGCACAGGACACTCACGTAAACACATTCCAGAAGGATAGTACCAGAACACCCCGATACAAAGTTATGGTGTAAATGTACTCCCCAAAGATGATGCAGGGATACACTGGCCCCTCTTAAAGATAAGGTCAGGATGCCAGGGTGATGGATAGAAATGTTTTGCTCAAACCAACATGTACAAGGTAAAGGATGGTAACTAACCATGTCAGAGGCACAATACGTAACTTGTTTGTATCAGTGTATAAAAGAGGCATCGCAGAGAGTGTGTCTTTGTCCGGCCGAGGGGGAATGGAAAGTTCTGCCATTCACTGAGCCAAGTCCATTGCAACGAGCATATATGTGTTAATGTATCTTTAACCACTGAGCTAGGGCATTAGGACCGTGCTCCATTGACAAAAAACCTGGCCGAGTGCCTCTGCTATGGAACCAAGTCTGTGGTCTTCTTGGGCAGTTCGATCGGAGCCTGCCATACAGGCCAGCTGGCCAGAGCCAGTGCAGCCAGAGCCAGAGAACACACACACGTATCCAACAACTGATGACAGGAAGTACCTGAAAAATCCATGGGGTTCACCCCCGTTTGACCTCTTTTATGGAAGAAAGGTCAGTGACACCCTAAATCTTATTAGGAACTCCTGGAAGGAGGGTTCTGAACCAAAAGGGAAGCCCCTAACTGAATATGTAACCACGTTTAGAGAACATTAAAAATCCACAATGGATTTGGTGCAGCAAAGTCTTTTAAAGAGTCAGGCTGCATAGGAAGAATGGTAAACAGGAATACCAGTGAAAGGACATTTGATGGGAGAGGGTAAGTTTGCCTTGGTATCTTAAAGGTGGAATTTATTGTCAACTGGCCTATACCCCAAACTAAAAAGCAAGTGCAATCGTTTGTAGGGTTGGTGGATTATTACTGCAGATTTGTAAAGGGTTTCAGAGATATTGTATCCGCTAGCACCGACTTCTGTAAAAAGAATAAACCAGACAAAGTGGTTTGGTCTGAGGCTGGTCAAAAGGGCTTTGATAGAGTAAAAAGATCCTTTCGGAACAGCCAGTTCTGGCAAGCCCTGATTTTAGTAAGGGGTTTGAGCTGTGTGCAGATGCATCCACCATTACCAGACTTGCAGTTTTAATGCAAGCAGGGGAGAGCAAGAAGAAACTCCCCCATTGCATTCTGAAGTAAAAGAATGAACTCTACTGAACAAAACTACTCTGTCATAGAGTGGGAACGCTTTGCAATTGCATGGGCAGACAAACAGATAAAACACTATCTGTTCAACAGAAAATATAGGGTGTTAAGAGAGCACTCTCCATTGGTGTGGCTGCACAGGACCAAAGGTACCATCTCTAGGCTTTTGTGCTGAAGCACTG